CCACCACCACCACCACCATCACCACCACTACCAATGAACCAAATTTATCATTTCCCATTGATAATTAATATCACTAAAATGATAGTCACAGATTGAATGCATTGTTGGCATGTTGGCTGTGGGATATTTAAACTCGTATTCGAAAATCGTAGACTTTGCTATCATTCTGCAATGCTAATCAGCAGTTTTAATATACCGTCACTCAGGCGGAAAGTGCAATAATGTTATTTTAATGGTGTATAGCCCATGTTCGAGCTGGCTCGCCTGGGCTGTCCAACGTTTTAAGTGACAAAATTATTTAGCCCTTCACTCTTTTTCATATTCGATCTTTTGATGCAGGCAGTGTTTAAAGAATCACCTTCCACAATCCCTACCATATGTATTGAAAACAGCTCTTGCAACGAGCCATCTGCGAGGAATTCTCCGATATGTGACGTGAACTCGCCATTTTTAATAGCCAGCAATGAAGACTTTCTCGGAAAGTCGTTGTCTTTTAACGTTCAGGTGAGTCACTTAATGTACTGTTACTGGTACCAGGTGTCCCAGTTCCTTTGCTGGTTTTCAGAATTGACAGAACCAAGGAAACTGCTTTTTACCGCACTCGTTGTGAAGAATACTTCCCCTGACTTTCTTCAAATTGCACACACTCTTCTGGAGCATCGTCTTCTGTCTTTCCAAAGTCCGGAGCTGGTACAGAAAGCCAACAGTCTCGGTAAGGTTTTGTTGCATTATACCGTAGCAATAGGAGTTTGACGCCCTTTTCGATCAGTACTGTCTTACCACATCATATTTTATCCTATTTTTTCCGTTTTTTTGCAGACCATGTGAAGAGCTTATTCTCAATATCCAATCCTTCTGAACTTACACAAACACTTCTACATTTACTATCGCACTTGAGTACCGAACCATCTACCATTCTGTCAGGAAGTGTCAACAAAGATGACAAAACCTCCGACCACCCCATTAGTGGAAGTCAGGGTGCCGAATACAACGAAACTATTAGGCGTTATTACTTGGACCTTATCGACAAGGTCTTCGAAAACCTATCTACACTACGGACCCACAAATGTCCTACGTTCACCTCTCGCGCAGAGTTAGCCACTCAACAACCAAGTTCGCTAGACGATCCTGTTGACACAAATGAAGGTCAAATTCTCCTTCTTGCAATATCTCATCCAGTGTTTGACTCCAAGGATAAACAGTGGTTATTGTCCAGGTTACTTCGTTACCGGGATCTGTCGAAACACGACACGGACGAAGAACTCGGAGGAGGCGATATCCTGAACAGTCTAACTACGCTGGCAGCAGATCTTCTAGACATCCTAGTTGAATCATCGGACCCTGACTCTCGTAAGTTTCCGGCGTCTTATTTGTCGGTCTCTTCCACTCGTTCTGCCTTTTGTCGCCTAAGTAGTTTCCATTTTCGCCAAATTTTGACCGTGTTGCATTTAATGCGTCTCTTTGCAGAATTATCACCCAAGGAATCTACCTTGCCGTTGCTGCCTGTGTGTCCGCTCTTTTAATCCTATGCTTAAGTATACACATTTCTCCAGTATATTTAGACGGTGTTTGTATTTTCCCTTCAGTTTCTATTAATTTTACAGTTCTGTTAAAAAGCGAACATAGTATGAATTTTGGTGAATGAGTTCCTGGTAGTTTGATTTCTAAACAATCTTAGTCCCCAAAATTATTTTCTCTATAAAATACTTTTCCTTATTTTAGTTAAGAAGCATGCCCGAAAATCCAACAGCAGTTCGCAGTTCCCTTTCTTCACGCGCTCTTTGATGTCTTACATGAATCGCAGGCATCATTCGCTAGTCCCAAGAAGCCAGGTTGAAGAGGGCACATATTTGGATGTTTATAAGTGCGGATCCTCACTTTGTGTACCTCTGATTGCACAGCCGTCTCCGCTGTCCAACTCATCGTTGAACTCATCTGGGTTTATATCGGGCAGTGAGTCCATGCATCAGGGCCTCTCTCAAGTTGGATTAAACGAACCGCAGCCTGCCCCTACATCTTGCAGTTTTCATTCAACGCCAAAAAATACACCCTTCCGACTTCATCAACCTTCCTCCCTATTTCCATTTAATCCCTTCCGAAGGCAGTCTGCGTCGCCCTATGCCTCCCACTGTGCCGAGTCTCAGCTCAAGGAAGGCGATGAGGAGTCAGTATTTCTCGAGCCGCACAGCTCCTCACCGCCAAGACCTCTCGCTGAACCCGCAAACACTGACGGCTCTGAATCGTCTGATGCTTCACCAAACATCCCCTGCCTAGTCGCTGTACAGTTACCCAGAGAAAACGAGGTAAGCAGACCTTGTGCAGTGTAGTCTTCTATCTGCTATTGATCCCACCATTTGCCTGTTTAAAAAAATTATAAACAAAGTTGTCGTAAGTTAGGATTTAGGTTACCTATCCTGTTAGGGTATTTTCGGACACGGTTGTCGTTGCACTATTAAGTACTGTTTCAAATTTATTAAATGATTTGCATTTAATGAATCCTATTGAACAAATCATAAATTCTGAAAAATAGTGACACTTCTCGTAGTCTGTGGAGTATATTCAGTATGAGGCATAAGTTACCATCGTATGCAACTGATTTGTTTACTTAGTACTTCCAGTTTTCAAGACGAGTTCCAACGTAAAACATCGTCCATCTAAGTGCAAGTGAGCTGGCTGCCGTTTGGGGCCAGAGGGCAGGGACAACCTCTAGCGCCCGGGTCATTGACATTGCTAGCCACTCATAAGAGTTATCTTTTCTGAGAAACAACAATGCTGTCGAACCGAGGAATAGCATTAGAGAGGGAGAGACACCGAAAAACGAATGGTTCTCAGGATGCAGCAACTTATTATGCAGCAGAAGTACCACTATTCGACATCGAATTCATGACACCACCGACAGTTATACTTTCGATTCAGATGCTGTCACCCGTGTGCCCTACAGATAGGCGCCATGATTTACTCTTGAATTAGTTTATATTGGTAGTCGACTTGCGCAGAATATGCACACTTTCCTCACCCTGCGGAGCTCAGTGTAACGACAAGGTCTAGAAGGCCGGAGGATGGATCGCGCGTGGGCAGCCGGCGCGGCGTGCGCCTGCGTCTGGGTGGACCTCTACACATCCAATATATGGCGTGTATTATAGTTGGACACTACTACTGCTGTAT